ATCACGCAGCCCCCACACCCCCCACGCGGATCTGTCACCTCCCTGGCCAGTGACCACCTTCTCTGGCTTGAACTCCGACCTGCTGGGACAACGTGCCTGACCAGCCACCAGCTCCCTGCCCTCCCCAGTCCACACCCAAACTGCAACTGGGCAGTCACTTCCAGCCCAGGACAACAGGACAACGCCACGCCTTCCTGCTCAGGACCCAGGAGCCTCGGCGGCCCCCGCCCCGGCCTCCACTGGCCTCCCCCACATCATCCTGGACCTGCTCTCGTACAGGGTCCGTTCCTCTGTTCACAGCACAGATCTGACGCTCACTCATCTCGTGTTCATTCAAGGACGATCACGGAGAGCCTGCCCCACGCCAGTGCCGGGAACAGGCCAGCGGGGAGACCTGGCTCCGATTCTCTGCTCACAGGGTGACGAACAAGCCACGAACGCCGGGAGGAGCAAGCGGACGTGGGAGCGAAGGAGGCATGGAGGCTCGGGGCCGGCGCTGCTGAAGAAGGGAGAGGAGCCGGCAGAGGAAGCCGGCAGCTAGCAGGGGGCTGGGTGGGGTTAAATAAGCACTGCAAGGAAAGCTAACCGGAAGAGAAGCGCTCCTGGCTCGTTCTCAGCTGAGACGCGGCAAGAGACGCTTTACCAAGCCGATTTCGTCGCTGGCCTGCGTTGGGCGGCTCTCGTCCCCTCGGCTGACAGCTAAGCACAGATGGCTCCTTCCACGCGCACCGCGGCAACCACAGATGAGAGGCCAGGCGTCCAGAACCTGGTTCTGCGCTGATTTTTGCTTCTGACCTTGACCAAGCGAAAGGGGAGTGACAGCCTCCAGCCATCCGACAGGGGTGCAAAGCATCACACTGCCCAGCTTAGGGCCCGAATGCAGCCCAGTGCGGCCCCCAAGGGGCGTGTATGGGAATTTCGGCCCCGCCCGGCAGTGCCGGGGTGGCGCCCAGGGCAGGTGCAGCAGCCTTGGCAGGGATTGCGGTGCTGTCCTCGAGCTCCAGGCTGGTTCCGTCTGTCTCTGCCAGGTCACGGCACAGCCGGGGCCTCGCCACACGTGGCGCCATGCTCTTGACCTCCAGACTGTGAGCCACACACACTGGCTTCCTCCGTGGGCTCCCACGACAGAGACACACTGAGACGCTGCTGTGCCGAGTGACCGCTCCCGGAAGCGTTCCAAGAGTGCCGAGCAGCGCCCTGGTTTCCGTGAGGTCTCTGCACGCGGAGCTCGACCTCGCTTCTCTCACGGTGGCTACCGCAGCACCGGCGCTGCCCTTCCGGCCCCTTGGCAGGCACAGGAGCCCCCCGGCCACCCCCTCGGAGGAACAGGATGGGACCACGACTCTCGCCAAAGACCCCCTGCACAGCATGAAGCATCTGGAAACAGGAACCGGAGATCTCGGTTGTTCTGCCGGCATCCGGGTGCCAGGTGCCGGGTGATCCTCTGGTAGGACAGCCCCCGCACCCCTCTGACTTGACAACAGAGCAAAACAGGTTTATTCTAAGTTCTTCCTTTCCTACTCAAACCAGCTCCCCGGGGCCAGGAGTGTGGCACAGCAGGTTAAGCCGCTGCCTGCAGTGCCGGCATCCCATGTGGGCGTAGGTTCGAGTCCCAGCTGCTCCACGTCTGACCCAGCTCCCTGCTAATGTGCCTGGGAAAGCAGCGGAAGATGGCCCAAGTGCCTGGGCCCCTGCACCCATGCAGGACATCCACACGGAGCTCCTGGCTCCTGGCTTTGGCCTGGCCAGGCCTCGCTGTTGCAGCCTTTTGTGGAGTGAACCAGCAGATGGAAGACCTCTCTCTCTGTCTCTGTCTCTCTGCCTTTCAAGCCAATAAATGAATCTGTTAAACAAACAGGCTCTCTGAGTCCCCAGTGGCAGGCTGGCTGTCACCAGCACACGTGTTTAATGTCAGGTCTGTCTTCAAGTACCCGGGGTGGGGGGGCACTTTTGTAACTTTCTGTTTTAGAAACTAAGAACTCAGACTGAAACAACAGCTCTAGGCTAACATTACCACCAGCGGAGGTTCACCTGGCCAGAAACTTTTATTCCTGCCTGAACAGGTTCTTTTTAAAGATTTTTATTTATTTACTTGAGAGGTAGAATTACAGACAATGAGAGGGAGAGACAGAGAGAGAGGTCTTCCATCCGCTGGTTCACTCTCCAGATGGCCGCAACAGCCAGAGCTGAGCCGACCCAAAACCAGGAGCCTGGAGCTCCTTCCAAGGACTTGGGCCATCTTCTACTGCTCCCCCAGGCCATAGCAGAGAGCTGGATCAGAAGTGGAGCAGCCGGGACTTGAACTGGCACCCACATGGGCTGCCGGCGCTGCAGGCGGAGGAGTAACCCACTGTGCCACGGCGCCAGCCCCAAACACACTTTACAGCTGAGCTTGTGTCAACGTCTCCATCACAAGGGTTATGTTTTTCCTTTATGTTTCTGCAGTCACAAGTAGGATAACAGCCACTGCCCCGGAGCACGGAGCTCACTCCGAAGCCTTTGACAGACCCCGAGAACTGTTCCAAGAGCCACTGCACGCCCACGAGGGGCCGGTCTTTCGCCGGAACCTGCCTCTGCTCTCGTCTGTGGTCTTTCTCTTCCTTCCTTGCTAAGCAATGGATTTCAGAACACAGGAGCTCTACGAAAGGCTTCCAACTGTCAAGTCCTCCGTGTGCGTGTGTCTACTCCTTAAAATTTTATTAGAAATCTCAGGCACCTTACAGAAAATTCGATAATTTAATTGTACTAATTAGTCCTGTGTTGTAGGGGAGGAAATTTAAAGAGCCATTTAGAAGGAGGACACAGCTCATGGATAACTTTTTTTTTTTTCAGAGATGGGGAAAGTGCTTAAGGAAATGCATAGTTAGAAATCTCACTCAGTTGATGGCCAATTTATTTCTCATCTGTTCGTGTGTGTGTGAAGGAACGGAGTGCGCGTGGAATAACCAGTCAGCCTCGGCGGCAACCCTCCCGCAGCCACACAGAGGCCCCGGCGGGGGAGTCGGGGAGGCAGGGCCGGCCTGCCCCGCCACCTGCTCTCCACGCAGCGTCCAGAGAAGGTCCCGGGCCGTGCTGGCCGCGTCTGCCTCGAGGTTCACCGGTACGAGCGGTACTGCAGCCGCAGCTTCGCTACACACAAGTCATCAAGAGCGCAAAGATTTCAACAGGAAACTCCCACAACAGTGTTCAATGTGCATTCTGTGTCCTGTCCCACCTGCCCCTCACATGCTGACGTGTGCAAATGACTCGGGCCATCACGCCCTCTCAGGGCCATGCCCCACGACTGGACGACTGGACGTAGGAGCTCTGAGGACTGAGCCGCCCCTGGGCCTCAGTCCCAACACCATGTCAATCATGGCTGCAGTCAAGTCTCTGCCTGTAACCTGCGCAACCCTCGGCCGCCACTACGCCCACGTTCCCGTGGTCCATGCGCCAAGCTCACAGGGAACCCAGGAACCGGCCATCTTCCTCGGGTTACCAAACTCTTCCGCGGGACGCAACCCACAGACCTCAGGGTCAGCTGTCCATCTGGTCATCCAAAACCACAGGGCGACCCACACCACGGCCACAAGGAGAAGGGAGGTGCACCTGCCGGCTCCCTGCAGATTTCTGGAGGGAGGGGAAGCAGCCAGGACGCGGGCAGCAGAGGGGAATAACGTGGGAGCCCCTGTTCCCGGTCACAGGGGTTCCTCTGGAGCCCTGGGCGGGTGTGGGGTCTGGGAATGCTGGAACGGGCGGCGTCAGCGCACAGAAAGCTGGCTGAGCTCGCGGTGAGACCCGCGGAGGCTGGAGGAGTGGGGGAGGGTCATCCACAGCCAGGCCTTCCCAGCTGGCCTGGCCCTGCAACCGTCGGGTCTCCTGGTGGGGCCGGCGCTCAGCAGCTCCGCTCCGCCCCCAGGCCGGCGTCAGCACCACCGCGTGCGGAGAGCGGCCGGCTGCTCCGACTGAACGCACCCACTTCTAACTCAGAGATCCTTTTCTCTCAGGACCTCCGCACCCCTCCCTCAGGCTCCCTACGTGTGCTCCGCGCCCCGGGTCCCTCCCAAGCAACTGCAAGGCTGCGCCATGTACCCCAGTTCCCACAGGGCTGCCTCCTTCCCTGCCCTGTGAACCCCTGGCCAGCGGCCAGCAGCCCCTCCACTCTCTGTTACCCCAAACACACACTGGCACACCTGCTCACACACAGCACCCAACACACACTCACACTCACATACCACCGACACCCACACGAAACACATCCACAAACACCCAACATACACACACCACTGACACACACAATCCATCCACAATCACCCAACACACATGTACACACTCACATATCACCGACACACACACAATCCATCCACAGTCACCCAACACACATGTACACACTCACATATCACCGACACACACACAATCCATCCACAGTCACCCAACACAGTCACATGCCACCACACGCACAGACACATCCACAATCGCCCAACACGCACGCACATGCTCACATCCCCTGGCCCCCAACACACACCTGCTCACACGCGCATCGAACACAGAGCGTTCACATCACCCTGAGACAGGCACACGCAGTCTCATCCCCGACACGCGCCCACCTGCACACACACACACACACACACCTGCTCACGCGCCCGCTCTCACGCACAGCAAGCCTTCCGGTGCCACCGCCGCGCTGGGCCGAGCCTCGGCCCATCTGGGCCCGCGTCATCCCCGCGGCTCCCTTCCCCGCCCGCGTCGGCGCCGCCAGACCCGCGCAGGCCGCGCCCCCTCCCCATCGCTCCCACAGCCCCGGACCCGCCTGGGCGCCGCCCGAGCCGCGGCCCCGCGGCGCGCCCCTCCAGCAGCCGCCCTGCCGCTGCCCCCGCGGACTCGCGCGCCGTCTCTCCCCGCGCCCGGCCCGCGGCCCCGCCCGCGCCTCGCCGCCCCCAGCCCCGGCCCTCCCCGCCCCCACCGCACCTGGGCCGCGCCCTCCGAGGCGCGCGCGGCTCCCGCCGGCACCCGGGACTCACCGAACATCTGAATGTGCCCTTTGGTGATGGGGTTGAAGCTGCCGCAGGCCAGCAGGATGACGTGGGTCTTGGTGGTCTCGGTCATGGTGCGGCGGGCCCCGCGCGGGCTGGGGGCGCCCCTGGCCGCGTCTCGCCGAGCTGCGGACGGAGAAAGGAAGGCGAGGCCGGCGGCGCAGGCTGAGCCTCCGGGAGCCGCTCCAGACGCACGCCGCGTCACGCCCGCCTCCCTTAACGCTTGCGGCTCCGGACGGCGCCTTTGTGTGCGCGGCTGCTGCTCCCGCAGGCCGGGCCTGAGCCGGGCGTGCGCCCTCCCCTCCCGCCTCTGAGCCCGCTTCCTCCCTCCCCGCTGCGTAGCTCTGTCCCCAACCCCGGAAGCCTTGTCAAGATTTCCTTTATTTCCTTTATTTGAAAGACCGAGAGCAGAGAGAGATCTCCCGTCTGCTGGTTCACTTCCCAAATGCCGGGTGTGTGTGCGCGCGCAGAATCTCCATCTGGGTCTCGCACGTGGGTGGCAGGGACCCAAGTCCTTGAGCCGTCACCTGTGTCCTCGCAGGGTGCCCCTTAGCAGGGAGCTGGATCGGAAGAGAGCGGACTGGAACCCAGGGACTCAGTGTGGGTTACGGCCTGCAGCGTCCCAGTGCTGTGTCTTCACTGCTGCTGCCCCAAATGCCTGCCCCCAAAAGGGTTTTGTTTTTGTTAAGATTTATTTATTTATTTAAAAGTCAGAGTTAGAGAGAGAGAGAGAGAGAGAGATCTTCCACTCACTGGTTCACTCTCCAAATGGTCCCAGCAGCCAGAGCTGGGCCAGATGAAGCCAGGAGCCAGGAGCTCCTTCCAGGTCTCCCACGTGGCTGCAGGGGCCCGAGGACTTGGGCCACCTTCCGCTGCTTTCCCAGGCCACAGCAGAGAGCTGGATCGGAAGTGGAGCAGCCGGGACTTGAACTGGCGCCCATACGGGATGCTGGCATTGCAGGCACCATAGTGCTGGCCCCAGAGTTTGATTTTAAAAGTTGTTTTCTTGCTCTTGGCCTCAGAATTTCAAGTGAGAGGTGGTAGTAGCCTGTCTCAGCGTGTTCATTTCTGCTCTTCCTTTTCACCTTGTCAGATAATTCTCCGCCATTGGAAGTCCGTCCAGACTGTGGCCTCCCATGTGTCCCCTGTCCAGGGAGGGGGCTCAGAGCTGGGTCAGAAAACACAAGTTATGGGGCCAGTGCTGTGATGTACCAGGTAAAGTTGCTGCCTGCAGTGCTGGCATCCCATATGGGCACCGGTTCGAGTCCTCGCTGCACCACTTCCAATCCAGCTCTCTGCTATGGCCTGGGAAAGCAGTAGAAGATGGTCCAAGTCCTTGGGTCCCTGCACCCACTTGGGAGACCCGGAGGAAGCTCCTGGCTTCGGATCGGCTCAGCTCTGGCCATTGCAGCCATCTGGGGAGTGAACCAGCAGATGGAAGACCTCTCTCTCTCTCTCTCTCTCTCTCTCTCTCTTGCTCTGCCTCTCTGTAACTCTGCCTTCAAATAAATAAACAAATCTTTATTTAAAAATAAAAAATAAAACACAAGTTATGGGGCTGGTGCTGTGGCGTAGTAGGTTAAGCCTCCACCTGCGGTGCCAGCATCCCATGTGGGCCTGGTTTGAGTCCTGGCTCCTCCACTTCTGACCCAGCTCCCTGCTGTGGCCTGGGAAAGCAACAGAAGATGGCCCAAGTGCTTGGGCCCCTGCACCCACTTAGGGAACCCAGGAGAAACTCCTGCTCCTAGCAGTCTGACCCACCCTGGCTTTCTCTGCCATCCGGGGAGTAAACCAGCAGATGGAAGCTCCCTCTCTCTCTCTCTCTCTGATTCTGCCTTTCAAATAAATAAATAAATAGATATTTGAAAGCACAAGTGATCCAAGTGGAGACAGAGATGCACCCCTCGGCAGGCAAAGCCTGCTCCCCCGAGTTATCGCATCGTGCTGGAGGGAGACCGACGTCCACAGGCAGCGGTGCAGGGCGCAGTTGTGGACACAGCCGCCCTCTGACGGAACCCCGAGTCCAAGAGGCCTCTTGGGAAGAGGCCTGAATGACGAGGGGGAGTTGCTGGCTGCACATGGGGAGGGGAGAAGCTGGCATGGCTGGCAGGTGTGGACCGAGGGACACTGGCCGATGATCAGGGTGGAATCAGGGAGGCCTTCCAGGGAGTAACTCATGGTGGGTGGCCGTCGGATCCCTCTGGCTGCCTGTCGGGGTTCAGGTGGGAGCCGGGGGGCTTGTGGGAAGTCCTGCTGGTGGCACAGGCCCATGCAGCCGCCTTGGCCGGAGGGGAGGAGAAGTTGGCGGTTTGGGGATGAGTTCTGGAGATTTGTAGGGTACAGTCACTGCGGACGGCTTGGAAGTCGAGGATGCAGGAGAAGAAAGCTGGAAAATGTGCGGGAATCTGGCTTGGGCAGAGCGGTGGTCTGAGGTCCAGGAAGCCGGGGAGGGACCGCTGGACGGTGGGAGGTGTTCCGCTCCGGCATGGCCGGCCGAGGACCCGAGGACCCGGCGTATGCTCGGCTGAAGCGGGAGGCAGATCAGCGGGGAAGGCAGAGGCGTTGAAGGAAGCTGAATGGGGCTTGAAACCTTGACACAAGCTAGGCAATTAGCATAATTACAGTGAGGCAATAAATATTTATTGGGTGTCTGCCTTGCACAAGCACTGATCTGAGGGCTGAGAACACAAGTCCCTGCTTCCACGCGGCACAAGTGCCAGAGGGAGGAAACACAGCACCAAAAGGCACCGAAGCAAAACCGAGCGGGCAAAGGGTTTTTGAGTTAAGGTTGTGCAGGCAGTCCGGGTGGGGGCGGAGCTGTCCCCCGAGGGTCTGGGGCCCTGGGGCGGCAGCAGGCACAGCAGTGCCTGAGAGGGAGACGCGGGCTGCAGGAACCCCCCAGGAAAGCGGCCCGCGCCGCTGAGGCCCGGATTGGGCTGGGGCTTTCCACTCAGCGTGGGCGGCCACGAGGCGGCCTGAGTGGAGACGGCGCAGGAGGTGGTTTTGGTTTGGGAACTCCGAGTTTAGGAGCCATCGGAGCAGCTCACATCTGAATGGGAGGACGAGGGCAGACTTGGCCGTGGGGCGCGGGGTGGGAGCTGTCCTCCGAGGGGGTCGCTGGCAGCCCTGGGTGGGGGGAAACTGCCCGATGCTCACCGAGGCTGCGTGAGCTTCTGAGATTTCATCCCGCCTCAGAGATGAGGGGCGGGGCACGGAGAACAGGAACAAGGCCAGGGCAAGGGGAGGCCACGCCTTCTCCCCTGGCTTGCTTGGGGTGAGGCCACATGCACCGCATTTTAAAAGCCGGGGTAGCACCACCCACCAGGCCAGGATCGCAGGTGCAGCAGGCAGAACACCTGGCCCTGGAGCTGCCTGACAGCTGTGCATGCGGGAGCCAGTGGGGCTTCTCTGCAGGGTGGAGGACCGCCTCCCCTGGCTCCAGGGACCCTGAGCGCTGGTTCTCACAGGCAGGGCCTGGGGACGTGGTCGGGGCGTGAGGCTGTGGCCCTCGGGACCGGGATCAGTGCCCTTGGAAGAGGGACTCCCGGGGGCTTGTTTACCCCACTGAGGGAGTGAGGACACAGTGGAAGGCACCGCCGGTGGGCGGGAAATGTACCTTCACGGGCCGCTGGCCCAGGGCTATGCGGGCAGGTGCGTGGCTCACGCGAGCACCCGGCCCACGGGGGTCTGTTACAGCCGCTCCTCCCTTCTGCTTGGTGCAGCTCGCCCGAGTGACTGGGCACGCACTCTAGTCTGCTAGTTCATTTTATTTTTCTTTAAATCATGTGTGGATTTTTGCATTTTGTTTGAAAGGCAGAGAGTGAGGCAGAGAGAGATTTTCCATCTGCTGGTTTGTCCCCCAAATGCCTGCAGCAAGTGGGGCCTGGCCAGCCCGGTGCCAGAAGCCAGCACAGCTATCCGGGCCTCCCACGGGGGCAGTGGGGTCTGACCGCCTGAGCCATTGTGGCCAACGTCCAGGTTCCACGTTAGCAGGAAACTGGAACTGGCAGTGCAGCCGGGACTCGAACCCAGGCCCCGCAGCATGGGACGCAGGTGTCCTGCAGGGCCAAATGTCTGCCCCTCCAAGTCAGGGACGATAAAAAGGAAGAAAAGTGAGCTGACTCACGTACGACAGTGTTGCCAGCCCAGTCTGGGAGGGAAAGGGTGACAAGGGTCTATATGGAAGCATTAAATGTCTCCAGCCGTATAGGCTGTGTCTTAAGTGGTAAAGTCGAAAATCAGACTCACTGGTTGTGATCCCGACAGCCTTTTGTAACTTTCTGCTTTTTTAAAAAAGATCTAGTTATGTATTTGAGAGGCAGCGTTAAGGTGGGGGAGGGGAAGAGATTGAGAGAGAGGAAAAAGCTTCCATCTGCTGGCCCGGCTGACGCGGGGAGCCAGGCGCTTCTTCCAGGTCTCCCATGTGGGTGCCGGGGCCCAAGCATTCGAGCCAGCGCCTGCTGCTTTCCCAGGCAGGGAGCTGGCTCAGAAGTGGAGCAACCAGGATTGGATCCTCGCTCCAGCATGGGATGCCGGTGTCACAGGCAGCAGCTTAACTCGCTGTGCCGCAGTGGCAGCCCTCTGGTACGCTTCCCTGTTCTTGTGCCAAGAGCGCTCTGGCCTGGGCCAGGAGAGCACCGGAGCAGGTCCCGGCTCTGCCGCTTGCCCCTGTGTGGCTCAGGCAGCCCCTTGTTGCTAAGCCTCGTCCTGCCGGGTTGTGAGATGTGTACGGTGTGAGTGCGGTATGTCTGAAAGCGCCGTCAGACGACGCACGCTGCGAACACACGGCTAGGGGAGGCTGCTGTGGCACAGCAGGTTGAGCCGTGGCCTTTCAAGTCCCGGCTGCTCCGCTTCTGATCCAGCTTCGTGCTCGCACACCTGGGAAGGCACCGGGTGACGGCCCCAGGACCTAGGCTCCGCCGCCCACCAGGGAGATCAGGGTGGAGCTCCTGGCTCCTGGCTTAGGCCTGGCCCAGCCCGGGCTGTTGCGGTGTTTGGGGCGTGATGCTGTGGATGAAGGAGGATGAAGGATCTCTCTCTCCCTCTGTCTCTTCCCCTCTCTCTGTCACTCCGCTTTTCAAATAAATAAATAAATAAGTAAATAAGGCGCACTCTCCGGGGTTGCTGAAGAATCAAATAAGCGAGTTAAGGCTGTTTTTAAAAGCGTGTTGTCAGCTGTGGGTCAAAGGCCACGATCGCTGGGCACAGAG